AAAATTAAGAAAAAGGGAATTTCGCATAATCAAAGAAAGATTATCGAATTAGAGAAATTTATATTACTACGGTAACAATATACTAATTAAGCAAAAAACTTTCAGCCTTCTTATTATATTAATTTTTCTATAGATATTTTTATAATTCAACAATATTAAAACTATAACAAACTTATAAATTTTTTTTATACAATTATAATATATTTTAGAAATTATAAATATTAGCAGGTGTATATTTATATATTTTTTTATTATATTTAAGAGTATTTAGCAAAATTTTTATAGTAAAATCTAGTTTTTTTAATATTTAGAGCTTGTCAATAAATTTAAACTAATTATAAGCTTTTAAAGTCTTTGTTATATTATATATACTTGTTTTTAGTTTTTAATTTTTTAATTATTTATTAATGATATATTTTAGATATTAATAATATAATTATAAATTAATTATCTATTTATTAATTAAAATAAATACTAATAATAATTCTATTTGCTAAAGATTGATAAAAAATTTATATAAAACTTGTATACTTATATTAACTTTTTTATAAAGTACTATTTTAAAATTGATAAGTATTAAAAAATATAAATATGCTAGAGATATATTACAATTAGTATTTATAACAAAAAGCTCAAAATTTTTTTAATTTGTTTTGAATGTTGAGTTTATAATAATTTAATTATATTTTTAATATTAATATAGTTAAAAAAAATATTACAAATTTAAGCATCTTTACAAAGTTATTTTCAAAATAACAAAGAGTTTTAAATTTTTTCTTTGCAAATTCAAATAGTTCAAGAAATAACTTGTAAACAAGAACTAGTTTTTGAATTTATTATATATGTTTCTTTGTAAAAATATATGTCTTATAATAAATTTGTTTTTAGTATATACTTTAGAATTAATATATTCTTTTTTGTAAAGATTTTTATAGATTATATTAAATATTCTTTTTAATATATTTTTTTACTAGTGTTAAAAATTCAATTTTTTGATGCTCTAGATATGAATGAACTTTAAAATATTGACTTTGAACTAAAACTTGCTGTAATTTATAATTAATTATAAGTATAATATTTTCTTTATATATATATTTACTTATTAAAGTACAAGTCTTACTTATTTTTTTATTGGCTAATTTTCAGATTTTTGTCTCTTATAATTCTTTTGTTATATATAATCAAGATATATTATTGTATAATCACTAAATTATTTTCTTTTAGCATTTAGATATATCTGATAACTTTTTTAATAATAACCAGATCCAGTTACAAGTGTTAAAAGAATAATCTTTACAAGCTAATAAAAGTCATTCTTTATTTTTCTCAAATAGATTACTTTAAATTGAGAAGTATTAGTAATATTTTCAGCAAGATGAATTTTAATGACTTATTTTTATTTCTAAAGCTTGAAACTTTTTTGTAACAAGTTTTTGTATTTTATTTAAACAATAGAATAATTTAGTATTGTTTAGTATTAATATCAATAATAGTATGATTTAGAATAATTATTAATTATGTAAATCACAGAAACTGTTAAAAATATATAAAAGTAAAGTCTTTCATTGCTAAAAACTTTCATGTTCTGATCTAATAAAAATAACAAAGTTCTTACTTGTAACATTATACTTGTAAATATACTATTATTTTTGTGATCATCTTCAAATCTTGACTTCAAGTAGTGGATGTCCTCCACTTTAAATAAGCTATTAATTTTATTATTTTCATTTTATTCTTTTTAGATCATGTCAATAAGTCCTTTTATTTTATATTTATATAGTAATTTTGTTTTATTTTCTTTATTGGCAGTCTCAATAAGTCCAATTGTTATTTTATTTTGTTAGTCAGTCTCAATAAGTTCTTTTGTTCTTTAATAGTTATTCTATTTTTATGTTAGTTTATCTTATTCTTTTATTTAACCATCCACTTGCCCTATTTTTTTTACCTTTGATATCAAGTTAGTTTGTGTACAAGCTATCACAGGAGACCTTTAGAACCTTTGGTGAATCCCATTAATCATAAATTATCCAGTCTTTGTTCTTTTACTGATTGTTCCTTTGTTAATTCATTAGTTTCAACAACTCTTGAATTGACGCGAACAATATCTACACCTTTTTGCAAATCGCATTAAAAAATTCCATATCGCATATAATTAATTTTAGTCTTTATTGTTATTTGCTTTCTTGCCAATTTTATTTTGACTGGTTTGAGTACTTGCATAAAAACCTATTTTCAATAAAGTGGCAGCCACTGTGCTTTAGCAGGCGAGCATAATAAAGGAGCCATTGACGGAAAAGAGGTGGATTTAATATAAGGGGTTAACGTGTCCACTTCCGACAAAGTTAATCGTCAGGTATTTTCTACTCACATACATATCCAACAAATAATTTACATTTTCAAATCTAGCATAATATTACCTGTATTTTGAGAGTTAACTTTACGTGCTTGTAAAATATTATGCTATGATACAGATAAATCTCCGATGTAAACCACAAGTGAAGACGTAGTGTACAATTATTCTATTTACGTACAAAGTCTTCTTTCTCACTGTTATTCAGTGCTTATTTGCCTAAATAAGGAAAGCTTATAGTTAATGAGATGTGTTGGTATGTAAATAAGATACAGTCAACTCTCGCTAAACTGACCATATCGATATTTTTCTTTGATTTAACCGTGTTGACTATGGATTTTAATTAAATATAATATAAGTTAACCGTCACATATATTTAATTAAAAATACATAATCAAATCGAAGAAAATATCGATATGTCAGTTTAACGAGAGTTGACTGTATCTGTAGACTTGCCATTACGTTTCAAACAACTTTTTTTATAAAATCTTAAAATGTCGTTTACACAACGATAAATGCTTATCGTTATCAAAAAAATTCGCCTACTGTTTATAAGCAAAATTCTCCTATTTGCTTAGTACTGTTCATAGCAATTGAAAATAATTATAAGTCAACAAATTGCTATTGATTATTAAGAACAGCAAATTCTTGGTCATAAAAAAGTATTATTTCGTTCTGTAATCTTGCATATATGGTGCATAACATCTACGTAGTCATCAAAGTTTGTATTTATAAAATGTACATGTAAAAATTTCTTTACTAAGAAGTAAATACAAAATTTAATCCGTGAATATGCTCAGAAGAGGTCTATTCTATCATATTCACGGATTGAATTTTGTATTTACTTCTTAGTAAAGAGGTTTATAAATTTTATTAAATACATACATTTGATGACTTTAGATGTTATGCACCATAGAACAAAATTCCTTTTGAATAAGTTTTATTTAACGTTAATTTGATGTTTGTTTGTATCGGTATTATTTATTATACGTTATTCATAATTACATGTACTGTAAATTATATGATGATATGAATTATCGTTATCGTTTTTTAAATACAGTAGTGTAGTAACAGTGTCATTATTTGGTATAATTATATACGATTACTTCACTATTAACAAGACTTACAAGCATAGAAAATTGAAGATGCAATTATATCAAGGCAACCAGAGTATCAAATTTCATTATTTTCATGTCAATTTGTCAGCACCATTATAATGCATTTATTAAGTAAAAAACTTTCCGAAAAATTAATAAAGTCTTTGAAAGATCTATCCATTAAACACTTTTTTCAATGTTTCGTTGTCGAAAAACTTTTTTTTAGGATCATATTTAGCACGAATTTTTTCAAACCTCGCAAGACGATCGCTTAATTTTGTGTGAAGGAATTCTTTAACACCCGGCGCAGATTCCCAATCTTTAGCCCAATGTGGACTAGTAAAATCATTAAAGTTACAAGAAAATAATCAATTTTTACAGAATATATCGATATATTCAAACTAACTTATTATATACGTACCTAGTTTGATACTTGCTAATCCATCGTGCGGTTATTTCCTTGAAGAATTCTGGATAATGACGAGTGCCCTTCAATGAGCTGAACTCCAGGAAACAATAAATTGCATTCGGATCGTTGTCATATACGGGTGACAATAAAGCAGAAGAAGCCCGTATCATTCTAATTAACGTGTAAACGTTGATTGGAAATTTGCCTTGTTCCGCGTATTCCGCGATCTGGCAAAACAAAATTTGACATGAAGAAATTTCTCAATAAAGATAAATAACGCCAAATAGTTACATACTTTGTTTATAAGAAACGAAAATTCAGTTGCGACATTCGTGAAATCCGGATCGGCTTTAAGCGCAAACGATACATCATGGCCTTGAACGGACTCTATATTAGATCGATAATGCAAGGCTTCGGTAGCAATTAAAGTGAGATTTTTTATTGATTTTTTTAATGTTTCCCATTGTAATCCTTTTACAATCGGGGTGAGCTCAGGATTCTTGAGTATATCCGGTGGGTTACTAGAAGAGCTAGTCGTTGTTGATGAATTTTGTGTTGTTGGTGGATCTTGTGTTGTTGGTGGATCTTCTGTTCTAACAAATTGTTTTATCCGGATCTCGTCATTAGAAGTATCGCTTTTACCTTGATTAAATGGCAAATATATAACAATCAGAGAATCGGAATGATCAAACTTTTCTTTGATGTTTTCAGGTTTGAGCCAGCTTTTTAATGGGAGTATAATATCATATGCATGTAGGTTAAAAAGTGGCTCGACGCGAAAAGTAATGGAATAGATAACACCGAGTAGACCTTATTTTAAATATAAAAAAGTAAAGAATAAAATATAATGCATAATCAGAAACATCAATTGTTTCTAAAAAGCTCACCTAGATTTAATCGCGCTACATTCATTTCTTCTGAATCTTCCTCATTAGAAAACTCTTTTAATTTACCATCACCAGTAACTATTTGCAGTTTGACAACTAAATCAGAAACACTTGGACCTCCGGTTTTGGCACCATGACAACCAACTGCAACAACTCCAGAAGCACTAAACATATTCTGATAGGTCATTGATTCGAAAGTCAAAGGCGGATTGTTTTTCAATAGTGCTTGTTCGATGGTTTTGATTTGAGTACCTTAATTTTTAAGAAAATATGCGTTTAGAATTTTAAGTAGACTGCCTTCGAAATAACAACAACAATAATAATAATACCTGCTAGAGCAGTAACTGTCCATCCATATTTGTTAGTATATTTTATTTCAGTCACTTTAGTTAGATTGTTAATGACTACTAGATAATCTTTTGTGACAGACAACGAGCTCGATGTATGCCCTTGACCAATACATCGAATCTTTTTGCCACCTTCGTCCGCATTTCTTACGATATCTTTAATGTCTTCGAGAGATTCAGGTCGAAAAATATATTTAGGCTTAATTTCTGTTCCAGTCCAAGTCGTCACTGATTCATCCGAGCTCGGAGCAAAAATACGCTTGAAATTCGCAATTAATTCGTCTCTTTTTATCAGTACATAAAATTTAGCTTCAAAAGATTGGAAAAAAACAGAAGCGAATAATAACGTCAATAATGATATCACAATTATTTTTGAATAAGCCATTCTATTTAATATTTTTCTAAGAGAATTCTTTATCGTTATAGGCTTTTCTAAATTGTGAGAGTCGATACAACAAACGAATTTATACATGTACATGTATTACTAGCGATGACAACAAAGGAAAATTCCTTAAAAGGATGTATGCAGAAATAAAACGTATTGTTAACATTTACATAACAATAACAACAATGTTTTCCTTACTAAGTTTCATAACGTAAGTATCGGTATTTTGTTTTTTCCAATCAGTGAACACGATATCAATGCGTATGCAATTCAATGCAAAACTTCACGCTACCGCTACGATGTTTATTTAAATTTATCGTTATACATGTACATGTGCATACTCTCAAATTTGCAAACGTCCGTACGATAAGTTAGTATAATTTGCAACAAAGTCATAAAATTGTTTATTATAGTAAATTCGAAAAAAAAAAACAGAATAACAATTAAAGTCGACTACATATTAAAATAATAATTCGCAACAAAATTTTACGCTAAGCGAAAGATGAAGCAGTAACGGTCGGGTTTGAAGAATACACAAGGTCACTGATACGTTCACGTTATTCGGTATATTCAAGTGTCTTTTATTGGCTCGAGCCACTTGTTACCACCAAAAATTTGAGACTAACGTAAATAAATACTTTTATTCTTTCCAGGCATCCATGGCATCTGGTAGTAAAAAACAACATACGAGGGAAACGTAAATATTTGATACCCGTGTTCTTTTTCAGATTTGTGGCTGCATCATCAGGAAGTTTGAGTGCATGTAACACAATCATACCGATACATGTACATGTACTAAGTTGTACGTATCTTGTTTGATAGGATTTTATGCAAAAAAACATTCTAAAATTAAGTGATTATCGAAGCAAAGAAATTTCCATGCTTTAATCAATGTGCTGGATTCTGGCCTTGTGAAGTAACATCGTGTCAGTATATGAGAGGCCGAGGCAAATTTAAATTAATACTGTATTGATTTTAAATACTAATTATTCACTAAACTTAATTAAATTTGTTTGAATAGCATATTATAAAAAGAAATCATATAAAAAAGAAAGCAGATTCTGCACATCGTCGAGAAAATGGAGGTCGAGTAATCCGCAAAAGAATACAATCGCTCCCAACGAAGTACATGTACAACAATTAAAGAAATTCAAGGGTAATCAAATAATCAAATAAATTTTTTTATTTTAATAACTTAAAATGAAATTTAATTAATTTAATTGATATTTCTTTAAAACTCAATAGATAATAACAAAGCAATAGTTCGCTTGCAAGCTTTAAAGGAGCAAAATATGAAAAATCTCCCGAAAAAGTATTCGAGTAAGTATAAGCTAGCGAAATAAATCAATTACTCCGATTTTGAACCATAATATGGGAACAACAAAAAATGATAATCTCCACAATCGAACGCTAAGAACAAAAATACACGATCTTATCTTGGATCAAAATTGGAAACAGGCAATAAAATTGTCATTTTAAACTTAGCATATATGATGTATTCATCTGACTACAAGTTAAAATAAATGTGTGTCTTCATAAACTAAATCGTTTTTGTTCATTTTTGATGCGGTTTCGAAATTTTCACGTTCCTTTTTGTTGAGATTTTAACCGGGATTATTTCAGAGTTTTCACAGAATATTTTCGAGCTTTTGTGATACGGAACCTGGAGAAAATTCAGAAAATATTACGTGAAAATTCCGGGTCTTTTATCATAGTGCTAGTATATACCGTGCCATTCCGAATAAGGGTGCTTAATTCAATTACCTATCATTTTTCATAAAATTGATAACGGTAACAATAAAGTTATTTTGGGATGCTTATTTTTAATGTTGTCTATGTTTGCTTCCAATGGACTTTTATGAAAACTGGAAGCCCATTGCTTTGTTGTTATACAAAATGTGAGGTGCTTAATTTTGGAATGGCACGGTAATTCATTTTATTTCTGCTTTTTACAAATTTTCCTCTGAATTTTTAATTGAATTGGTGCACTCTATTACTATTCTTTACATTTTTGTCACTCTTAAGAAATTTAATACATAAATCCATAAACAATTTAATATCTGGTATATTGAAGAAAGTGTATCTGTTGGAGATTCTTCGATATTTTACTCACATAAAGTTGACTCCCATATAGATTATTATTTTGTCATAGTCTTGTGATGCTGAATTTTTAGAATACGCGAGCAATCAAATAATTCGGTAAGAGAAATTATTATATCTTGTACTGTATATCTCATATTTGAGTATGGAACACGACATATAATGTTTTAGATAGTAAGTTATTATTAAAAAAGGTGGGATCCTATAGAGACAAGCGCTTTGAATTATCTTAAACATGCGAAGAAATTAAAGAATATCTTAGAAAGTAAGAATGTTATCAGTTTATTTACCTGATTGTAGGAATGTTAACCAGTTCCACAACGGTCCCTATAATTTTGAAATTTACTAATTCTTAGTGCTCCAACCGGGTCGGGTCCAATCCGTGACCGACCCGGAACGCACATTTCGGGTCGGATTGGGGTCAAACCCGACTTGAAATAATTCTGATCAGCCTAAAAATCGTTATTTTTCGTTCAATATTAATTGGAATTAAACGAAAATTTGTGGGCATATACACAATTACATTTCGAACTCTACTTAGACACAAAATACAAGTTTCTTAGTAAAAATAAAAATTATTAACGAAAAACTATTTTACGATTTTCGATCAAACCCGATCCGAATTCGACCCGAAATTATCGGCTCGAATTGATCTCAAATCCGAATCGATCCGATTCGAACAGAGCTTTACTAATTCTAGACAAATCAAATTGTTTTAATTATAATAAGCAACCCTTAAAATATTGTTATCAATAAATTTTATCAAGAGTCAATAGAATAAAATAATTTACAAAACAGCAATTTTCCTGAACTTGGGATCATTTCAAATTTATCACAAATTATACATTTTAAAGAATTCTGATTTCTCAAGATATTGTTACACATTTTTTACTAATTGGATAATTAGCTAATAAATGTGAACAAGGATTGGGAGAGATATTTAAATAAATATAAGAATAATATGAAAATAATATGCCAATTTCTACTGAAATTGTTATAGTTTGAGAGGAAAATAATAATATTTTAATTAAATATAGTATTCTGAATAACTGTATTAACTAATTAATTTATGAATTATTTAATTGAAGTAACTAATAGTTTAACTAACTAATTAAAATAACAAAAATAATAAAAGTAATAAAGACTCTTTCACTTCATTCTTCTCACAAAAAAGAGATTATGATGTCTTTAGTTAAGAAATTCCAAATAATTTGATTATAACAAAAATATTAAAAGACTAGTTTATAACAAAATAATTTAATATCAATATTTTGATCAGCTTAATATAATCTCAAAGCTACTTGTTAACAAGATTTGAAATGTATGATTAGAGGGAAAGATGAATTGTTTAAGTGTTAAAAGATATTTATTTTATTATATTATTTATTCTCAAGTTTTGACATGTTGAGTTAAAGTTCAACTACAATTCATTTCTATATATTTTTTATAAAATACAAATATAATATTAAAAACAAGAAAAAGATATAAAAGATAATTATACTAACTAAAAA